TCTAGGAGGTGAATATAGGCCAAGCGGCCTGCTGCTGCCATGAGTGACATTTAGTATAATTAAGTTGTGCACAGGACCACAGAACTTGCCTGAAAAATTGCTTATGCTAACTCTGCTGCACGTAGGCCCATTGGACTGCTTATGCCACCCTGCACAGTAGGGCGGCTTACTATTTTAGGGACTAGGTTTCAAAAAAAAAAAAAAAGAGAGAGAGAGAGAGGGAGAGATGTAAGAACGTCATTGCTCCAGGGCTCACTGCCGTGCAAGCACTGACCACGCTATGCAGACCAGGATGCTGGCTAGCAAGACCCTGCAGTGCTACAATGACAGCTTTGTCATCATTGTTAGTAGATGTAGACTCGGCACCCAACCTTGCTGCAATGGCTGTGCTTCTGCTGATGCATGACCACAGATGTGAGAATGCAGGGGCATGTGCTGCATGACTCTAAGCGATCATACCACATCTATGCATGCCCAGGTCTGGATGTTACAGGACCTGACTCATCAAGAAATTTCTGTGATCTGTAGAGTCATAAAAATCTCCTGTGAGAAGAAGACGCCAGACCTTGGGAAAGAAGATATTTGCCTGCCCAGGCTGAGCGATAAGGAGCAGGGATGCAGCTGCTCAGCCCGGTTCACAGGCAGCCCCCGCTGGAAACCTGTTGAAGCCAGCCGCTCAGCTGGGCTTGTAGCCAACTTAACCGCAGACATCCTCCAAACTAGCTTTGGAGGTCAAACACTCGGAAATGAGGAAGAAGAGGAGGAAGGCAGGACCCTCGAATTGAGGGCTGGGACCTCCGACTGGCATGCGCGCCTGCGCACCCTCGGGGGAGAGTTGTGCAACTAAAGGCGGAGTTTGTCCGTCCCCCGGCCTGCCTCCTGGGTCGGACTGACCCTACGTGCCAGGATGCACCGGGCATAAAAGTGGACAGTGTGGAGAGGGCGGGGAGAGAAGAAACTCCTGACTCTGAGGCCTACGCTGTCTCCGTGGGAGCCAGTCAGCAACTCTCTCTCTCTGGTCTGCCGGCTCGAGAGGATGTTCGGGTCCAGATCGGCAGGTATCACGGTATCACCTCATGAGTAGTTATCCATACTTGTCTTATTTTATGTGCTTTCACCTGAATAAATGCTCGATGTAGTCACCTCGTTCTGGCTGATTATTGCTGAATCCCGAGCCCATCCGGAACAACATGAAAATTATTACTGTTTACACCCAACATTGCATTATTATTACACAGCAATCAACAGGTGAATTCTGTGCCAATGACTGTAAGATCCTTCTCTTTTGAAGCTAAATATGGCAGGACTATTTTTAGAATCAAATTCATTATTTGGATTAGTAATTAAAATATTTGAGCAAGTAAGGAGCCTAGTTTTCTATACAGACCTAATTACCAGGAATATAGCTGGAGACTAGATTATTGAAATGCCAGTGAGTAGATACAGAGCAGTAACCTATCTATGGAAGATCTGGATTTTTTTATTGTTTTCTTTACATCAGCAGCTATTAAAGAGAGGCCCCTGTATTCCACTTGTATTACTGCACTAAAGTACATTGCCCATCTGACTTCAGAACTAACTATGCTGGAAAGTATTTTTTATGAAATCAAAATAAATGCCAATGCCTTTTGAATCTATTTCTGCCAAAGGGAGATAATTTCATATTACATAAATATCTTTGAAGGCTTGATGGTCCTAGGGCCATCAGATCTGAAATATCCTGCTACCAGCTGGTAACTGCAGAGCCTTTTTCAGATGGTTGGAGATCTATGCTGGCATTCTGTTTCTTACATTCTAAGCTCAGATGACAAAAGAAGACAAGCAAATAGTATCTGTGTGAAAGAAAGAAGAGGAAGTGAAGCCATCTCTTTGGTAGTCGATGACTCAGACCTGAGCACTGCAGCAAAATTAAGGTTCGTGGCAGCCTTCAGTGACAGTGAGATATTTTCTGAAATACTGTGACAGACAGCCCGCTCTGGATTAATCATGTCTCTGATTAGGCCACTCCCGATTTTCTGCAGTTCCTGGGAACAAAAGAAAAGAAGGAAAAATAAAATTATATGTTCTGTTTTTAATTAAGGTAGGAGCCACTAGATCCTGGGATAGACTGCAAGTTTAACATCTTTTCTTGTCACTTTTCTTTCTGTCTGGATGCATAACACGTGATCTTGGCGAAAGTCCAGTCTGACAGCAGGGAAGTTTTCTGAGAGGAGTGGAAGATGGAATTTTGATCCTTTCTCATGTTTAAGTTTTTTTTTCTTCCTGATTTATTTGGAAGGTAAATAATTATTAGTCTGATGCACCGAAATGTGGTTAGATAGTTAAAAGCCATAAAGGTATGTTTGTTGATTTTCTGGCATATGCTAACTCCTTTTCTGTACACACCACTTGAGGGGCCACTACTTTCTTGCCTTGTGATAACCTTGTGTCAAAAATGTCCTCCCAATAGTATCACTCATTAAGCATTATCTGTTACTTCAAGGCTAACTTTTGACTGAATTTTTATTGGACAGTCATAATTCAGGTCATATCTTTCAATTCCTAGATATGTGGAAAAGATCTGAGCAGTTGGTGTCATCTGAGGTGTCATCTCTCAAGTGTGCTTTCTTTTCAGAAACTCAGGGCTGACATTATTTCCCTAATCACAAACTGCTCAGAAGGGGACACTTACATTAATTGTTTTAATCACAACTACTTGATTTGCCTCCTTGGCTGCTTTCTCTGCAGTTTTGATGGTCTCATTGTCCCAGTCAATAAAGTCCATGGCCATCATTCCTTCTACTGTACTGGAGAGAAGATAAGGGGCAATGAGGAAGAGGAGAAAACAAACTGGGAGGTGAAGAAAGCAGAAAAAAAAGAGAGGAAGGGGATAAAAAAGGAAAGGAAAAGAGGCCAATAAGGCATCACAGTTGATAAATTCCTGCAATTAGGTAGTTTAGTTAGACAGACACAGGCATGTGACCATATCTTCCCTATCAGCAACATCTTATTTTCATTATTTTTTTCCATCTATCATTCTCCTTGGTTACATTTAACTCTTCTCTACTGAGAAATATTTTTGTTTTAGAACTCACTCCGAGGCCTCCTGCTTGAGCATGTGGGCAATATATAGAATGTCAGGGTAGCCCATACAACTGGAGATGTTGTTACGAGGATAGTAGAAGAGGAACGTGAGGCACATCTCATTCATGGTACTTAGCCCACCCTGCAAAGACACAATGATGACTCAGAGGTTTACTGAGACACAGCGAGGAGAAATTTTCTTCTCGTTGTGTCTCTCCTCTCCTGCATGGTGAAAAAGACCTATCTGTTTCCTTGTCTAGCTGTTAGAGAAGAGCAAGGGATTCTCCCAGTGATCTGATAAAGAGGCTGTGGAATGATCTTTACAATCAAAACCTACCTGTTCTTTCCCTCAGAGAGACTACCATTTTTTTTTATTTCAAACTACAGGATCCCCAAATCTTAAACAAAATTCAGCCAAAACAGTCAGAGAATTATCTGAAATCTACATCCAGATAAATATTTGTCAGCTGATCCCTATTTTTGGAATGAGACCAGCCAAATCAAGCAGTATAACTCTATGTTGTTATAAATTTTGAATTCTTCGTAAGATTGAATCTCAGTATCTTGTGCATAGTCTTAATTGCAATTGCACTGTTAACTCCTCTGCATGGCATTTTCGCTAAAAGAAGTCAGTATGGGGCTTAATTTAAAAATAACTGTTTATGTGCTACATTCTGCAAAAGGGCCTGATTAAAGAGATGTCTGGGATATGAACAAGAAGAACTGAAAACAATGTCTATGCATTTTGAGAAGTTCCATATCTCACTATTTGCTCTTGAATCTTTAGACAAGACATAGCTTACAGAGCATTAGAGGTAAGATTGGCTTGGGGTCTGTTCACAAGCCTGTGGCAGGAGAAGCTTGCTGGAGAGCTTCTGACCCAAGAAGTTTTTGACAGTGCTCTGTTTAGCTGAGGAATCTGTCTTCTCAAAAGACTTTAATGGTGGATAAACTAATTTTATATGCAATGGATAATATGTAGGTAGAAATGCAAACTTACAAAAGTAATCACTGACCGATCCAGTGTCTGAAAGCTACATTCCACCAGGATCTCATCCCCCTAGAGAACACAGGTTATACTGTCAGAGCTGTATAGCAAAGCACACAAAACAGCTGCTTCTAACATCTGGAACTAGGAAACTATGTGAAAACAGTAAGTCAAAATCTAAAATAGAATGAAGGAAAGAATGTGTTAATGTGTTCCGATATCTCTGACACAGTTTCCCCAATCTGCCAGCCCACAACTACATCCCAGAGGAGGAACATACTGGTTTGATTGTGAGGATTTTCTTCATATCCCGAACCTCCTGCAGTGTGAAATCATACTTATTGTCCTCACAGATGATGCGCAGCTGCTCACCATTCCTGGTAAAGAAGGGGATAAATTTATGTTATAGGGATGGTTCCTGCAGGAAATAAACAGAAACCAGAAAAACCTACTCTGGAAATCATACCTGGTTTCTTTTCTGCTGTAATACACAGAATGTATTTCTAGTGACTAGTCAGTTCCAAAGCACACACTTCAAAAGTCACACCCAATCCTCTCTGCCTTGGAATACAAATCTGATTTTTTTTATATTACATTGGCCTTTTGGATGACAGTATATGATTCCAGAAGTAATAATCCTAATACTTGCATCTCATCTAATACTCTTCCCTCACCAAAAAAATCTCAAACTCTAGCACAGTGGAGTTGGGAGGCCCTTGAGGCTATCCCTTGCACATGTATTATACGTGAATTCATCCTTCCCATTTCTGTAGAGTTCTTTGTAATACTGTTTCTGAGGTAGTCTCAGGCTTGAGCACCACCTCTCCAATCCCCAGTGCAGGTCCTTAGATCTTCCTGTATAGATCCACACTGCATACTGCAAAGAGCACCTAAGTCATCATCAGAGCTAGCCATCTAGCCCACAAATCCTTGTAGCACCCATGGAAAAGCCCTTGTAGTAGCTGTAGCAGACCCGGCTTGCTTGTGCTAGGCCGATTTTGTCCCTCCTAGCAGTTCTAAAGCAGATGAACTGCTGGGGTTCACACTGCTATTCAGCCATGCCTTTTAGCAAAATTAACTTTGGGAGGAAGAAACCTAGCTTAAAGGCCAGACTTAACAAAACTCTGCACTGGCATTCTTCCATAATGCGCTGTTAGAGCTCGTCTGAATCTTTATCTCATGGCCTGCAGAACATATGGCAGTCTCTGTAGGATCCCTCCAGCATTGTCCTGCCATATGTGCGAGGACTTTAATGCCTCTTCTGGAAAAAGAATACTACAGGTGTAACATGAATTAGGCAAATTTTACTACAGGCATAATATGAATTAGGCAAATTTCAGCAGTACCTGAATGCCACAGTAGAAGTAACACAGTGTTGTGGAGTTTCTCAGGGCATAAAGCCAAGAAACAAGATGCTATTCATGTAATGCATATTTGATGTGTACTATGCACTTTGCCTGAAGAGCAGGAGCCAAAAACTATTACTACTGTGTGGAACAAAATAGCTTTATCTCCCTCACTTATACTGTCTGTGTAGGACTCCTGGTCCATGTGGTATTCTGAAACTAAGCCCACAAAAAGGAAGCAGGGCTTTATTACCAAGGCCCAGAATCAAAGGCTCCAGAAAGAACACTATCCAGAGAAAAACTCTCAACCAGGGTCTACCACAGAAAGCCCCTAAATGTCTAGAAATAAGTCCCCAGTCTGTTCTATGCTGCCAAGGTCAACCTCCAAAAAGTTTGGAGGCTCCATTAACTGACAGCAACACAAACATTATATATGCTACTGGGAGAAATCCCCCTGCTCCAAAATAGCCACCTCAACCTTTGCCTGTGCCTGGATCATAACCTATCCAGAAGTTTGTAAAGTCAAACACTTGACTTTCCGGTCTACAGTTTGCTTGAGGTGGCTTCAGGACATGCAAGGTAAAGTCTAAAGATCTTTTCCCAGATATATGCTCATGGTAAATAAACTGTTACTCTAGAGTCTTCTGTAGACAGATCTGAAGTGATTCATGGTAAAGTGGCAGATTCTTCCATATTCTCACCCAAGAGTACATATTTTGTTTGTATCACACTTCTTGCTGGTTGGTGTACGCACCTGGAAGGTGCTAACTAGCAAGATGGAGGAAAGACTCAGTCCCCTTCTCTTAATATCTAGCATAACAATCCAAGTGTCAGACCCATTTGGTACGGAGATAACTAGCATTGAAAATGAGAGATTATTTTGAAACTTATGGATTTTATTGAGGTGTCCTTTGCCCCTCTTCCTAGAAACAACCACAGATGCAAACTATAATATGCTATTCCTGAGGGACACAGATGGGTATAAGGGACCAAGTTATGGGAGATGGGCATATTCACAATGCATCTTTTGAGTTACAAAATCTCTCTGTCTTTGGTCCAGTTATAGCAGGCCAAGTGTTTACTGAGGTCCTTGAAATATTTTCTCCCACTTTGGCATGTAACAGGTGACAGAGGTTGCTACTTTGAAGATGCCACTAGTCAGAGACGAGAAAATATTCATCAGAAAAATTTGTTATTTACATTTTTCTGAGCTTGACTTTGAAGGAACTTCTAGTCTCTTGGCCCCATTTCTTAGCATGCTTGTGGAGTGGGTAGTCATTCTCAAAGTGAGGCCAGTAGTAAGGCTGTAGCCCTCTGCATTGCTTAGTGGGGCCTGGAAGCCAATTGCACATGCGAAATGGCATCCTCAAGAAGCACGTCCAAGAGCAAGAGAATGTGATATTAGCTAACAAGAATTTCTAAGAAGTGGCCTTGGCAAAGGCCAAGACACAGCAGGCCAGGGAACTGGCAGGCTGGCCTTTGGCAGTCAGGAAGGAATGGCAGGGGCTAGCATGTGTAAAGCATGTTTGAGTGCCCATGGGTGTTTCAGGCTATTTATTGAAGTATATCTACAAGTGCAGAGGTGCCACTTTAGTGCAACCTAGAGTGGTATTTCACATGTGTGCTCAGAGGATAAACTAGAAAATATCCACCCTACTAGACTAGACTAGCTCTGCATTGGTGTTGGAAGCAGCTTGCCTGCAGCACAATACCTATTCCTTCTGTGGCTTCATGATCAATCCAATATATGTGGAGTTTCTGCAGAGAGTCAGTATGTATGGCAGTATATGAGAGGGCACAAGGGTGTGGGGATTTGATGTGAAAGCACAGCCAAGTGGGGCCACATCTTGTGTAATATGTTGCAGTATCTGAGTTGTCCAAACAAAAGTGTTCCTATGTGCAGAACAAACAGGCTGCCAAAAGGAGAGTGTCAGAGGACTCTACAAGGACCAGTCAATTCCAGAGTTTCCCCTTGCCATTGCAGATGGGATTCACATGACACCATGAAGACTGCACCAACGATTCAGTGCAGGTCATTAGGGAATTTTATCTTGAAAATGTCACCATAGGCAGTCTATGTAGCTTTGCAGAGAGTAGCTACAAACTCACAGACACCCCTATTGCTAAATAAAATAGTGCCATAGATTGTTTTCTGGCTAAGGGGCAGGTCACTAAGTGTGCCTCACTCTTACTGCCAGTGGTGTGATCCTTGGCTCACGCTGGGTTATTCTGAAATTACAGATCTAATGAGGAGACAGACGTCTCATACTAGTGAGTGCTTGGAGACTCTTTGTCCTAACTGCAATCATTTTTTCTCTCTTGTTTCTTTTCCAGTTCAAAGTAGCTGAAGTAGTCTTCAAATGCTACATTGCAACTTGGAACTGACAATATGTGTTTAATGGGCTGGGATGTGATCAAGAGGTGCATAGGTTTTGTGGGAAGATTGTGGAGGAAGTCAAACCTGCTGTAGTTTGCCCATGCAGGCCATGGTTATGGGCACATGCAAACCTAGGACTCTGCCTGCCCACCATCAGGCTGTGTCCAGCTAGCAGAGCTAAGTCCATGTAAGAGCACCTTCTAGGAGTGACCAATGTGGATAAGCAGCAGTACAGTGCTTCACCCTGTTGCGTGGACCTGTTTTATTAAAGTATTTAGGCAGTTTTACTCTTCACAGAACTGACAGCTCTTTGTACTGCATTTCAGACAGTGTTGATTCCCAACCAGTCTCCTGCATGGACAGACAAATGAGGAGTAGCCAAGGAACATAAGCCTCACCCATTCCAGCCCAGGAAGTGGAGACTGATCCCCAGAATTTGCATCTCTTACCGGTACTGGGCTACTTTCACTCCTCTACCAGACAGGTGTGTGTGAAGAAGGTATGCAAATACGTGCAACTCTGGAACTGGTGTCCCATTCACCTGCAGTGCAAAATGGAGAAGAGTAGTCAGGGTTCATTACTACATTTCTGCCTGTGGAGTCCAAAGTCTGAGGGACATGTCTGTAAATGTCAGTTTAACAATTTTTTGAAAAGAAAGATTAGCCTATTTCCTCCAGTATCCCATTAGTTATTTAAAGCTATTTGCTGTACCATTCCTTTTTGAAAATTGCTTATCTTGGTGTCTTGATACCTCATGCTGGATACTACACAGCTATCAAACTAGCAACTATTCAAGTTAAGATACAGGAGACCTAAAAAATTAAACTTGCAGATACAGATCCTAACAAAAACAAAAGGTACTGGAAAAAATAGAAGTAGAAATCTTAAGACTGAGCGGTGAGCCATCAAAGGAACCAAGGGTGGTTCCTTTGATTGGTCCAGTAGGAAACTTTAACCTGGACTAGCTCACAAGTAGAGAGACACCAAAATCTGGAAAGACCCAAGGTCCAGGGTCTAGGCAGATATGCTAGAAGGATTTATGGTCCGCGCCAGAGGTCAGAGAGACTCACAATTTTGAATAAGCAAGCTCAGTGTCTGCTTCACTAGTGAATTTTAAGTCTGATCAGCCAGAGGGAAGCAAAAAAAAATGGACTGTTTGTGTTGCCCATACTTATGAGGTACTGTTGGGTGATCACACCACTCTCCTGTCTGCGTTGGTCTGGCATTGGTCTGGCTGTGGCTGGCTGAGACTGCTCTATGTATGTGTCGTGGGATAGAGGGTTGCTGTGTATGAAATTTTCCCTAAGGGCTGTGTCTGGGAATGGAGAAAAGTGTCAGCCTCACATCTAGGAGGGCTGGAGAGAAAAAAACACCTGAGTCATGCATGCCACCAGCATATCTTTACCAACTCCTTGTCAGTTTTTAGAAGGATGCTATGTCTCTGCTCCAGAGACGTCTTCTTCACCTGACAGCTGACACTATATCCTTGCAGCCTAACACACCTGTGGCTGGACAAGGGCCTCTTACCTCTTCTTGGAAAGTCTCTGCTTCCCTTTAATTTTTTTTCCACTTCCACTTAAATGGACTGAAGTGGTGTTTTTGTCATGGTTCTGACATGACCATCCACCTCTGATAATGATCCTAACTGTTGCCTGAGAGCCAAACCATCTCTCTTTCGAACAATCATATTATAGTAGGTATTTATTTTTGCAACATGCAGAAGGAGAGGCTAAGATGGTACCATGTAGCAGGATTTTGTACATGTCTAGACAAGTCCAAAGTGAGAAAAGACAAGGATTTCCCCACACTCACTTCATCAAACTGGCTAGTATTGCAAAGGCCATAAGATCTATAGGATTCTGCTCCAGGAGGGATGAAATGTACAGGAAAAGTGAAGATGCCTGTCTGCAGAACCCCCGCATCATATTTCCGCAGCTCCGATGTGTAGTAGATTCGCACCCCTGAGCTGTCGATCAACCCTTTAAAAAAATGTGAACGCTCTTTCAGTAACATTTCTTGCTTACATACTTTTCAGCTTCATCCTGTTCATTCATCCTGTGCATCTATCCTCATCTATCCCAACACCCAGATAGATTCCCCTCCCTACTTTCCTCAGCACCTGGTTATTTCCTGCTTGACTGTTATCATTCTATATGTATTCGTTTGTCCTGTTCATATTTGTACTACGAGCTACCTATACTTCCTGTTTTATTTCTCTCTCTTCTCTCCACCCTCTTTCTACCCCTGGACCTCCAGATAGGTCTTGTTGCTCTGATGCTGGATAATTCCCTGTACTTCTATGGGAGGGGATATTAACTCTTTATTAGAACTGGGGCCTGAAGTAGCAACACATAAAGTTACTTTTCCCAACTCTCTTGTGATCATAGACCTGCAGGGAGGCCTGAGCTCCCCTACCCTCAGTGGCATGATGCACTGTAACGCCATCTCAAAGTCTTGCAAGGTACACATTTTACAACTTCCAGGAATGCATCTTCACTTACAACTTATCTGGATCTAGTCCTGCTCATAGTCTTAGGCTGTTCCCATAAAATTACGCCACGCTTTTGTTCCTGCTCTGTAGAATGATAACAAATACCATGGTGGCAGCCTTCACAACCCATCATAGGAAGTGAGTGCTGAAGGTCACAGAAGTGTATTATGTTCTCCAGGTTCCATCCTGACCCTTGAGAAGTCTCCATCAGCCACACTGTCCCTCCCAGCAATACTGCTCTTTTTGATCATCTCCATGTTTCTCCCCACTCTCACATATCCTCTAGTATCAGAGAAGTTAGGTGTGCTCAGGCTTTATACAACGACACACGTCTAACCTATATGGAAAGAACCATCCATGTTTTCACAGTTAAAATTTCCTTGCTAAATGGGATCCCCTGCCAGTTTTGCATTACTATCTTTAAGCTTTCGATGAGCAATATATCCTAAGGGATATATTGCATACTACGTGATTGCATGCTGTAGATAGTTTCTAGAATGCAGCTAAAGTTTAAGATTTCAATGCTTAGGCTGTTTCTCAAAGAAACATGTCTGCCCAATATACCCACCTGGTAACAAGTCGAAATTGCTGTAGTGGATTTCCAGTCGGATGTACTGAGGATCCAACGGTGTCCCTATGGAGAGTGCAGTTTCATCTGGAAATCGATAGGACTTGTGGAAAGGGAAGAACAGGAATTATTTTTAGCTCTCCTCTGTTTTCTTATTGATTGAGAGACAATGGACATTTATAAAAACAAAAACAAAAACACAAAAAAACACTGTATAATATAAATGAGTCTAAAGGTTTCATCTAAAATTTATCTCTTTTGTCTCTCCCTGTCTCTCTTTTTGTCTCTCCATGTACATGCATACTATAGAAATACAAAACCCATTTTGCCTTGAAAGACAGAATAAGCATCATAAAGACAGAATAAGTTAATATTTGTGCAGCCCTGACTACTAAGTAGGCCAGCTTAATCAGAAGCACCACTTTACAGAACTTTTAAACTATTCTGAAAAATAGGCAGGGATAGAAAAAACATAAGGCAAGTAGGTGCACTTCCTCCTCTTGTATGATACTAGCACAAAGAAGCATTATGTGAAATTAGTGGCAATGACATTAAAAGATCAAAATGAAAGCCTTACCGTATGACGTAACCAGAAATAGGAGAGGCAACAAACCTTTCACACTCACCTCTCCCCCAACAGCCCAGCCCACAAGCACCTGAGAGCACAGGGCAAAATCTGGATCAACTCCATAGCAATCATCTATGCCACTGGGTATTACACTGTCACTGCCACAGGCATAAACCAGGATGTGATGAACCAAAGTTATGTTGTGGGGTGTTAATACAGGTTCAAACTGTAACCAAGAAACAGAAAAAAAAATCAACCCTAAAATATTTCTCTCTTGGACAACCAGGAAGAGCAGAGCAATTGTTAGCTCTGCTTTTTGCTAGCAATTTCCAAGGAGAGAACTTCAGACAAGTAGGTATAGCCTGATTTATAAGATGGATGGTAAATAGAAGATGATTGTTTATCCATTAACATCACTCTGTAAGCAGCAGAATCTATGGCTCCAGAATGGATTTGCATCTTTCCCTAAAACACCCTCCCTCAACCAGAATAACAGGAATGTCTATTTGGCCTTTTATGCTGGACAGTGATTCCAGACTAGGATTGTAATTAATTTACCTGATACAGCATTTTTCTTGTCTGCAAGCAGCTTAAGGAACCTTGTACACTATAATTCACTGCCTTTCAGTTGTGCCAAAACAACTATTACCAAGATAGTTAAAAATAAGTCTGTAAATAACCTGAATCCGTTCATTAATCTCTGAACTTTTCACCAGCATTGTTGAGATCAGATCTCAAATCTTGATAAATCTTGAATAAAGCTCCTCAGTTTGTTCTGTAGGATTGACTTGCAAATTCTTACTTTTCCAGCCCATATAAATTCTTCCTCTGAAATTCTGTCTAATGTCACTTCAGTGGAACATCTATTTTTAAACTTTCAAAGCCTGCAAAACTAAGAAGCTTCACCTTGGAGCAAATTTGTCTTAAGAAATAAGCTGCATTTTTCATGAAAAAAACTGTTTATTTTCTTTGTTCCTTGATTTTGTACATTGAAAACTGTACTGCAGAAATTGTGCTTTGCCTTTTGCTAGCAATTTACAAGAACAATAGCAAAAGTTTTTGCATTCTTTTGAAATAAATAAAATTCTGGATGCTACTTTTGCTTTTATTGATATCCACATGTAAACTGTTCACTCTACACTGAGAATTATCAGACTTGTAGCAAGGTTCCTTCAGGTATGACGTGCACATAGACAACAATGTTTCCAAGACAGAGAGTTATGTCCCCACACCAGGTGGACAAATCCCAGGGGCAGTGAAAACCAGTTCAAAAATGCTGTAAAAGACATAGTTGCCAGCAGAACTAAAGTGGTATTAAAGTCCTATTTTTCTCCAGTAAGACAACCATGCAGTGTACCTTATAGATGTGATGTTTCTGCTTGACCATAGGCAGTGGTATAAAGGTACAGGCATACTTAGTTTCTTCAGCTGGAACAGCGAACTGGAGAGGAAGAAGAAAAAAAGAAAGAAAAGAAAGAAGAGAAATACAGTAAAGATTGCTCTAGCAATCCAACCATGTGCATTGTGGAGAACTCAAAAAGGGGCAAGTCCAAAGAGACTGGAGCATAGAACAAGACCAATATCCTCCTATCAGGAGGGAAAGTGAAGATCGAAGAAAGAAAAGATTAAAGGGTCAAAAACATGAGGCTGCATTCTGGGGAAGGGAAATACATTTGTCAGCTGCACCAGATCTTATATTCTTTTTCATTTAAGTTTTGAAACATTTTTCCAAAAGGGAATTGCATTACTACTTTGGCTATTATTATAACATGAGCTGATTGTGAGAAACCTCCGACACATTCCGTCCTTTTTTCTTTTGGATTGCCAGTTCTCTGTGACTAGCAGAGCACAAATGTGTACCCTTGTTTTTTTGAAATACTCTCTTTTTCTAACCATCACAAATAGTAGGTTTTTCCTTAGAGTTTACCATGGGCAAAGTATTGGATGAGGAAGCATTACTGAGTCTCCAGAATTAGGCATGCCAGAAATTGCCCTGGCTACTTATTCAGCTGTCTGTGTTCAAGTGCCACCAGTGATGTCCCACCCTAAATATTCTTTTTGTGTCTGGCATGTATGTGGCACAGTTTAGGACCTAGGGAGCATCAGTACTTTCATCTTCAATCTTGAGAAGTTCTGCCTTCCACATAGTAAAAAATACTGAAGCCAGATCATAGATGGAGCCCTACACTGTTCTTGTGCTCCAGGACTTTAGTTCAGCTACACACCTCAACTGGACACTGCTCAGCAGTAAAGTCTCGGAGCTGAGTAAGTTTTATTCTCAATTTTGTCTCTTCTCCTGAGAACAGCATTTCTGTTCTCTGTGATTTCATGTTGTTGCTATGATACTAAGATGGGATGATGTGTACGGAGAAAGTGAAGATGCCCATCTGCAGACCCCCAGGGAATATCCTCAGTATATTACAGATATTTTTATATGGGTCTATACGGATGAGACACTAGAGCTGTATGCATTCATAATTGAGTTGATAATTGTACCTCAATTCAACAGTACCACAACCTGTATTTTGCTCCCTAAATTCTGTCAAAAGAATGACTTGCAGCTTACAGTATTTTCTTAACAAAGAAGCCCCTTACACAACAAGCCCATACCTTCCTGTTTCATTATTCTTATATTTGCATATTTCCAGGATTATTCACGCCCATTTTTCAACCTGTGCAGACCTAACCTTTAGTATGGGCAGAAGGAGGAGAAGTGTTCTAGAAGGGAAAACAAAGCTCTTGTCCAATACTTACATTGTCCAGTCTCAGGTCATATGTGAAGAATATTTTGGGGTCAGCTGAGTCAGATGACCCTCTGTACTTCATCAAGAAAAGAGATTTGGAAAATTTTTGGCCTTTAGAGAATTGGACCGTGTCATCAGTGCCAAATGCTGTAATGAGGTGTGCTGTATCCATCTGTAATAAAAATATTTCATTGGAAAATCCCCTTCGTTCCTTCCAATCAACCATGCGTACATACATTCACCCTACAACACATGCCTTATTTCACTGCATGCTTATTAAAACACAGTATATATTAACCATATGCAATTAAAGCTTGCCTAAACATAGTATAGATGTGCATAATTTTTTTACAGGTAGTTATACTGAGGTACTCAGACATTGTACTAGACCACACAAGAAAGCATGCATTGCAACACACAAGATTCTTGTCCAGGTGCAGACATAATACCTGCTTGTCCTCTCTATTTATTTATATATATATTTTTTTTTCTTAGAAAGCGTGGACTACTAATGGAAAAAGACTCTAGCAAAGCTTAATACACTTTTTTCTCATGCACTTATATATAGAATGCATATGCACACATTTAGGATATTTACACAATGGTATGTGAAATGGAAAAAAGGACAGGAAAAACAAATGTAAGGGCTTTGATAAAGATTTCAGAAACTGCAGCACTTTGTCTTTAAATGTGTGGATAAATTTAAAACTGGCCTTCAGAAATTCCAGGACTTGGAGACCAGAAGGAAAGCCTGGAGAAAGGAAAACATCCTTAGTGGAAGAATATTGGGTTAGAAAACACTTAAGCTGGACATACACAAAGCCATAGGCCCCAATGCATGTACTCAAGAGTTCTGAGGGAACATCCAAATGTTTTTGCAAGACCATGATATTTAAAAGATCATGGTGATCAAGAGATGTTCCTGGTGACTGGCAGAAACCTATCATCAAGAAGGGCAAGAAGGAGGCTCCTGTGATTTACAGGCCAGTCAGCCTTACCTCTGTCCCTGGAAAGATGGTGGAACAACCAATAGTGGGAACCATTTCCAGACATGCAAAGATTAAGAAGGGGATTGCTTGTAATCAGCATTGATTTATGACTGTGAATTCATGCTTAACCAACTTGATAGCCTTCTATGATGGGAAGATTTCTGAGAGCAGTAAGCCTTGGATATTGCCAACATACACATGGATCCCTGAAGTAAAGGTAGAAAGTGCACAGTATCTAGGCATGCAGAGCACTGAAAATGCATCAGTGCCAGTGTGCTTGAACAGTTTGACAAAACAATTTTTTACCCTTCATATTTGAAAAGTCACTGCCTTAAAAACCATTTTGTGTTGGCAAAGATTTTAATGCAATTTGGGATCATCATGAAGCTCTTCCAAGAGAGGACTAAAATTCTCAAACTATTCTGAATTTCCCAGACATAATTCTCATTCTCTCAAAGCACTAACTTTACGCAAATGAAAAGCTTCATCTCCAATATTAGATTCCTTTTATGTGACAAACAAGTGATAGTCAGAGAAACAAGCACAGTTTTGAAGAGTTGTATTCAAACTTAAATAAATAAATAAGAATTCACATCTTCCCAAATCTTTGATGTAAGACATTGTAATAAAATATCAATTTGATATTGATCAGTTCACTTTCTTACTGTGATATCTAGGTCATTCAGGTCACATGTAAGGAGGTGGCGTTTGAACATCATGGTAGTAAAAGTCTCATCCTGCGCCAGTGACAGCAGTTGGTAGTCCTGGCTCTCATCTGCGTCAACAGTTGCCTCATCTACAACATGACAATCCTGGAGATGGAACAGTAGTAAAGGCATTAGGGACAAAAGGAAAACTTTTTTTCAGTCTGAGAAATCAGATTTCTAAATATAACTCATGGGAACTGAATAATTACAAAGTTTTCCCTTCATGAAAAAGCAACTCTTTTTTCACTGCTAATCTCCACAAACCAACCAAAGAGAAATCACATCCAATACTTACCATATCCAGTTGCTCAAGGTAACAGTAGTCATTGAGTCTCAGCACCTAGATGATGGCCTCTGGTCATCCTGACTCCCTGACTGAGAGTGACCTGAGACAGGCTAAGGCATTTTAACACACCTTGCTCAGCTCCACAAGGTGAGAAGTAAATTAAGCCCTCTTGAAAAACAACTAGCTCAAGTAAAATGTTATGGGCACCTCAAAGTACCTTTTTTTTTGGTTAGATATTCCATACCATCTGAACAAACAACTGCAGATCAAATAAGACATGACTGAGGTCACCAAGTGCAATCGTTGCTCAGTAAAAAGGTGCAGAAATATGCGAGGGTGTTTGAAAAGCATCTAAAGGTTTAATTCCTGTAGAAATGTCAGCTGGAACACAATGGACTGAAATAATTTCTACAATGAAAATACAAGGCAGGATAATGAAAATACAATGAAAAAAGACAGGATACAGTTGCAGGAAAGAATGGAAAGTATAAAAATGAGTTAAGTTCCAGGTTACCTGACTGATATTACATACATTTTTGTGGCAAAGTGGTTCAAATGATCAGGGAAATGAGAAGGCGGTGGTTGCAAGTGGAATGAAAATCTAAGAGAGAACTATAATAGAATACGGCAAATATTTCCCTAATATGTTGCTAAGTGCAGCATTGAAAAGTTTTGTTACAGAACTTGACTTCAGAAAGATAATAAGAAAAGTTTTTCCAGAGTGATCTCGAAGAATGAGTATTTTTATGTGAAATTATTTCTGGCATTTTCTCCTCCCATTTCTGCTCCTTAGAGTGATGATTTCAAAACTTGTTTGCAGTTTTTGCTGAATTTCTCAATGTCTTCCTGGATATTCTTTTTTCTCTTTGAATACACCCAATAGCTTTGACTGTCAAAATACCATGATCAATTCTTCTCTAACTCAAACGCTCCAACTACAAAGGTAGTCATCATGGACAGAGAATACATCTTTTGTTTTCCTGTTGTTCTATATTAGCTTATACTCTCTTTCATTTAAAGAACAAAATTCAAAGATGTTCTGAAAATTAGTTATTCTAAAATAATAAAGTATTTAAAATTAAATGTGCCTTAGGAAAGAGGAAAGCAGTAACTGCTAAGCTGAAAAACCTCTGAGAAACAAAATTTTTGATGAGGTTCTTGATCCTATTGATCTTTACACAGATAATTTGTTTTTGTTTGTTTGCTGTATAGAGGAGGGTGCAAACAAGGATGGCAAATGAAGAGGTGGAAGGAAGGTATACAAACAAAACCACTTACAAAGTCTATCTTCAATGACTAATGTATTTTTCCTTAAAACTGTCTGTACCATGGGTTCAGTGGCAGGGATACGCACCCATGTAAGGAAATGTAGATTTGTGTAGTCATTACTGTACTTGCTTACTTGAGTGTCTACATAATAAAATATCAAAAAAAAATTTAAACTGTTAAATGCTTCATCTGAAAATGATGGAATTTTAATAATTTTGAAACCAATGCTTTTTTTCATTTTAGGTTTCTCCCTTTTAGGACCTTTTTCTTTTTTTAATAATTAGTCAAAAATAAAGAACAAGCAACTGTTTTTTGTAAGTTGATCATATATATATATTTTTCCTGTAGATTTATTCACCCCAAGAAAATGCACTGTCTATGTCACAATCACAAAAAGATTTAAAACTCTGGTCATTACAACAGAAGTCTTAAAACCACTGCTGAAAAAATACATTAGACTAGCTACCTCATCCCCTCTATACTTAGTTCACATTAGAAATGCATCAAGGGAGATTTTTTTAAAGCAAGAACTCATTTTGCTTTTCTGCTAAATAAGGAATTAAACATAATTGAACAACATAAAACCCTGTAGTTTGCAAAAGTTTTATCAGTGCGAAACAACCTGAAAACATTTTATCATTTTTCCCATGTCTGGATAATATTAAACTGATTATTTCTCTTGTACGTTTAAAGACCAAAATAGTTTTCATTCAGCATTCTCAGTAGCATTCTCCTCTCCTAAACCTCAGCTGTTTAATATTAGTCATCTATCTTTAGTTGTTGCCTTCAGTCAGTGGAACCCTATTCCATTAAGACACTTAGGAGGAAGCAACCTTTGAGGTGAATCCATGTCTCAACTGATTACTGAGGATAACCACCTTAAACCAAATATCTGATTTTTGGATATTTGTATTTAGGTAGGACTCCCCCAGCTCACTGCATTGAGGTTAGAGTTACCCAAAAACGAGTCTCCTTTTGCTTTACAAATCTAAACCACAAACCTGATTGATACACTCGGGCTGTGGGTTCCTACTCAAAATCACAACAGCTGAAAGAGTAAGTGGAATGGAAAAACCAAAACTCATTTTTTCTCTCCAAAATCTGCACGAGGCAAACTGAATTGCCTGACATTTTTGTGAACTATATCTAACCTATCGAGAGATTTGATAAGGAAAAATGTGGGCATTTCACATCAAACTTCCGGATGAACTGACTTATCATTTGAATGAAGCAGAAGTTATACTCCTGGGAGCTTCCTCCTGCCTCCTGTTAGATTATTGCTTCATATGTCATTGCCATTGGTTCCGGCATCAAGTGCCATCTGGGATATCCAAGACACCTTGCTGGGATAGCAGACATGACACTTTTATGATCAGCTGGACCCTTTCGCATGCTCAGTTGGAGCATGCTCAGGTCACACAGACTAAGCATCCTAAATGCCCTAGACGTATACCTTCAGATAGTTTTCAAACCAATATACTTAGAGCAAATGAGGAAGGAGAGGAAGTCTTTTAAACTTACAGAGAAATATATGCTGCCATTTGGGAAGACACCTCCGATTACAATGTCAGATCCAGGTAACTCTCCATGCGGGCTGAACCCAAATGCCACCCAGCCAGGTGCACGGACCTGCAGCTCAAAAGTTATCATCTCCTGTTCATTGTGGTCCCAGCGGAGGTGGACTATGTTGGAAGGATCCAAAAAGCTGGAAAAACGCAACAATGCAGGTGTGGCCTGACCAGAACAAAGGCATGGAATGAACAAGAAGAGGAGCATACCCTTGATTCTTGTGAAAAGATCTACTAACATCCTCAGCACTGTTGTATGTTCTGTGCCTTGCTGATCCCGTGGGCAACTGGTACATGGGGATCAGCTTATATAGAAGTGTGTAAGACTGGGCCTGTTGCCAGAAAGGAGGAGTGGAAAATGGTTTCTCTCCTGCATCCAATTTAACAGGTGGAAAAATAAACACTTTATAAAATATATCCTGGCAGCCTGCCCCAGTGAGATGGGTACAAGGCCATCCCTGTATTCTTTATAAAATTTTTTTATGAGATGTCTTGTGCTGTGTACCCAAAAAAAAAATAAAATCAGCAAAGCTTTTACTTTCTACCCAGGAAAACCATTAGCTGCTAAATACTGGCTAGCTTTGCTCACAAAGGAAAATGTGTTCTGACTAACTTGTCCTTGTGTCTGAAATGCTGCAATGAACCCTTGATGTGCTACTCCATTGCCTGTTTTGATGACTGTTAATAAGTCTGTTGGGTTAGAGGGCTCCAGTAGTAGGAGTGGCGAGGTGTGGTTGAGTAATTCTGCATCGAGGTTGGGCTACAGTACACCCTTGGTGGGAATGTGTGGAAGGAGGAAAGAACACCACCTCACTAAGACCTTTCATAGAAATGATGTGAAAAACAAAGGGTCCTAGTGGGTATCTAACCACTTCTGCCAGGGAATGGCTTATATTAATCTACTGAGTGTGCTCCCAAAATGATGAGTAATGCAGGAGGGACATCTGATTTTCAGGGATCAAGCTTAAAGAGTGTATACAGACTTCCTGAATCCCAGATTACTATCTACAGTCTTGCTGTATTCAGGAAGTGTATTTTTGATTCCTTTTGTAAATTAAGTAACACAATAGCAACATTTAAAATATTATTTGCCCTAGAGACATTCTTCTGGGGGTACTAGGAAGGACTGAGGGCTATGGTAATTTAAGGTGATATTTCAAGGCTAGAACAACATGGAGCTATCAAAACTGACTTTGTTTTGGACCTTCTAGAGAGTTACATAAAGATAAAATTAAATATGACAGGAGAGGGAGAAAGTAAAGGGAAAGTACATGGCTGCATTAGGATGCTTTGCAGAATACCTGAGGTGAGAAATATTTATTGTTGCATGCTCTATTCAGCGGGAGAAAAAAAAAAAACAAAAATAAAAAAAACCCACCTTCTGACATGGAGGGTACTATGGAGATTAGAGATGCAACAGAGATGCTGCTGGAAGGAGTGGCTACCCAGTGACTACAAGGAGAGAGGGTTTAGTTCTGTGACAAAGACTAGAGTATATGTTTTTGTTGATGGAGCAGGATGTGGTATCAGCATGATACCACAGGTATCAGGCTGAGAGATATGGGAGAGATATCCAGGAACAGGAAGATAAGGAAGATACCACAAATTGGCAATTATCCTACCAAAGAAGGTTATAAAATGCTAGAGAATCTAGATAAGGGAAAGAAAATAGAAAGCCTTCTTTTAGAAAACTAAATGCTCATATAGGAGCTAAGTGTGAAAAGAAAGAGGAGGATCGCATAATCAGCTAAACCCCAGCTCTCCCCCAGATGAACAATTACTTACTTCAGTGCAAAACAGGAAGTAATGGGATTCTTGTTATAACAAGCTGAAGCAATCTGTTTTTCATAATACATGACTTTGTGTTGAGGTTATTTAACACCTTTGCTTGTTTTCTAGGTTAATGTTAAATAAAATATTCCATTTTGCAATAAAAAGTCAGAGTCTTGTTTTTGAAAAGGATAAAGAAATGTCAATGTTCATCTTGGACAACTTGAGCCATCAAATTTGGAAACCCAGTCTAAGGGCTTTATTTGGATTTCCTTTATAATCAATGCCGGATGGAGTCTAGCCTGATTTAGATCAAACATCTATTTTGCTGTTCACTTAAGTAAATCGAAAGTGTAGCTTTTCTCCATCTTTTAAATTTCTTCTCATTCTTTTAGTAAAACTATCCACAATTCTCATTTATTTCTTATTGTCCTTTCCTGCCAGGTGAAAAGACACCCCCAAAACTTGCGTAATGAGACCTTTAGGGTAGGATTTAGTTTGAGGTTAACATCCACAGAATCTAGGAGGGCATGAGTTTCCTGAAAGTACTGTCTTATTTCTGTTAGTCCTAGGTGGGTGTCTTTGGCATACTAGGACATCTAAAATGGAAATTTATGTCTGTGTTTAAGCAACTGATTCATGCCTGCAGTGACAATAGACAGCCTGGACAACATATCTATGCCTCCCCAAAGTGAGGAATTAATGATGGAAATGAACAGCTTATTAGAAACAGATACTTCTGTCAGTGTTCATGAGTGAGGACAACCAAAAGAACATATTTCTCATAGTTTTGACACTTCTGTTGTGATATAGAATAGGAACAAAACTGAACTGTTTAAAATGGTTGTCTTTTTGTACCAAAAAATGCACTAGGCCTAGCAATCACTTAATTATGACCTTTCTGATAAAAAAAAAGAAACAAAAAGGAAAGCAACATGACCACCCTCTCAGCTTCTCTGTCAATTCTCTTTGGAGACTGAAAAATCCTGCTGACTTTAATCAGTTCAGTCTAACAAATATTTACTTATTTATCTTCTTCAGGAATGTCTGAGTATATATATATAGAAAGTGTTCTTCTTTGGAGATATTCAAAACCCACCTAGATGCAATCCTGTGCAACGTGCTTTGGGTGTTCCTGCTCGAGCAGGGTGGGGTGGACTAGGCAATCTCTAGAATTCTCTTCCAACCTCAACCACTCTGTGATTCTGCGAAATATATAGGATATATCTGAAATAAAGGTTTGATACATATACATACTTCATGGTATGCAAAAGCTAGCATAGCAAATGATTTTTACTTTTAGTTACCACCGTTGCTTCAGGACAGATGATTCCCTATTTATTCATGCCAATGTTACAGAGTTCATAAAATATTATGTGTACATTGTACAATGTGAAATCAAAGCAAAGAAAAAAACCAGGAGGGATAGCTCCAAAAATTTTGCTCTAGTTTTCTTGTACTTTGTTCTGAGAGCTTTTTAGGTACCTTGATCCAGCAAAGCAATTGCTAATCTCTCTCTCTTTTTTTTTAATTTACTACAGATGGATACCACTGCACCGCTGTGGCTCAATTTTACCCTCAAGTAAAGGAAAGTGCTTTTTTATTGTTGTTGTTATAAAATGGGAAGTACTCTATTTCCTGATTAAGCTACAGTAGGTGCAAGCACAAACCTCACCATTGTCACATATTGTTCTGAGTTGTATTTGGTGTGCATATGACTTTTGGTTAGGGGATTGAAGAGCTACCAATAACCATGTACTAAATTTGCACATATCAATCTGTTCCAACATAAGATGGCATTTAAAAATTAGTGAATTATCTGAAACCAATGTACAGGTAACGCCTCACACTCAACTGCATCTTTGTGTTATCTGGATTCATTTTTTTTTAAGATTGTGGTATCTTGATGAAATGAGTTATCTTAATGTCTTCAATGAAAAGAAATAATCTCTTTATTGACCTCAGACAAACTAACTTCAGGTGGAAGAACGTGTGGAAGAACAAGGCACAAGAGTTAACAATCCTCATGGTCTTTTCTGGGCTCTGTCAGTTACTGTGGGTGTAACTTACTGCAATGATACTTACCTAGGTTCCTAAGAAAGGCATTAGAGTGTAATTTTTGAAAAATATGTTATAATCCTGGAAGGCAGATGGACTTAGCAGCATGCATTATAATTAGTTTTTACAGACATTTTTTCGGAAATTTCAAATGGAGAAGAAATATAAGCATTTGCTCTATGAACAGTTATGTTCTCACTGCTAATCAGTTGCATCAGTGCCGGCTGTTACTACTTCCATTCACCCCAGCATCGTTATTTTCCCTCCACTTCCCCTATTGGTCACATACCATGATACCCATTCTAATCATAAAGCCTCTCAACCCAGTTATTTCCTCTGCAATATCCCCAGCTCCTTCCATGTCTCACATCCCCTACCTGCCTTTGCTTGCTCTGCCCTTTGGGCAAGGGACCAGTACACACTCAAATAGTGCATAAAGATGTATGTCTAGCCAGGGTTTCATAATGCTTGATTGTGCAAAGAGACAACTGACTAAAGCCAAAAAACGGTTGCAGTAGCAAAAGGAGAAAGCAGTAGCTTTTCCCTCACTGCTTACACTAATAGGATCTCTCTTCTACTCAACATCAAGTAGAAGATAGGCATGCCAATGAGCTGAAGACAAGCCAGCCGTCACCTAAGCCTCACTTCTTGGCAAATGCATCTAAAAATAAAATGTAATGTATCATGTAGAAGCAAAATGAGATCTACAAATTGGGATTCTCAGTTAACTAAATGGGTCACTCCTGGTTTTCTCTAAGCAAATATACTCACAAGCACCAAGTGCCAAGATCACTTGTGAATGGCACCAAGGACAAGTTGGCTACTGAGCCCACCTCACATCTCTGTGGTTCTTCGTTAGTAATGATGTCTTTGGACAGGGCTTTTATACCTCCAAGAGTCACCAGCTCTTTGGGCATGGTCCTTCACTTCAGAACTTTCTGACTTTAGTCTCCGTAAATCTTAGGCAAAGTAACTGCTCGAGGCCTCTTTATTGCATGTTTGGAATATATGCTTGCTCTGCTTTGAGGATAACAGGAAAAGGGATGGCATGTGTATTACTGCTACCCTCTGGCTGTGAGTTTGCAGATTTTTCACTGATGGACCCTTCAGTGTGCTGTGACGCTATCAGAGTGTCAGGTTTATGGTTTGTGACATAAACAACACATTCTTCAGCTTTACTGGGGAGTAGTTATCAATACAGGCCATTCTTTCAACCTCTGCTTTTTCTCTTAGGGCTAATACATATATACATTTCCACTCATACTGCGGTCATACCAGTCCTAATAATTCTGTTACAAATCTCTACATAAGTTGGGGAGAATTTTCTTCTGATTTGTCTAATATCAAAGTTATCCAAAACTATATAGAAGAAAGGTTAAAAAAAGATACTTTTGCCACCGCAAGTGTTGAGTGAATCTTTTTTCTGTCTGGTAATTTAATCTGCAAAACATGCATATAAAAGCTAATCAAAACTATTTATGAAGTCATGACAAATATATCAAGTTGCTTTGGACAAACAGACTGGAACTGAATTGGGAAATGAAAAAGGAAAAACAGTTCATTATTTTTGAATATTTGAATATTTTGAATATTTGAATTCAAATTTTATGTGTCATAATGTGTTTTCATTTAAAACTTTGTTTTATTCCTCTGGGGAAAAAAAAATCAGCACCATCTAATAGTGTTTTCTGTGTGACCTGAAATGACTTCTAATTACAGGAGCTTTTTTTCTTCATTGAGACAATGAAGATTCTTACAACTTGAACAAATGAAGAGGAATATTAAAAGCAACTGTGAAAAAGAGAGAGATTTTTTTAAATGTAAACACAAGTTTGCTTGCGTTTCTTTAGGAAAGTAATATTCCAGTGCTAGCAAGAGTCTCACAGTTAGTTCTAAAGCTGATACTAAGTATTATCCTTACATAAGCCACAGGTAACGCTGGAAAAGGCACGGGACCAACTTCTGCTGCCAACACACAGTACAAATTAGGACACATTTGAAGCCTTACTCCACCTCTGTAAGATGTCACTATTTAAGGCAACATTGGAGATGTGCTAAGGGCCCTGACAGGTGTTTTTGCTTTTTTTTAAAAAAGAAAAATATATATCTGTTTTCAGGTACACGTGGCCCTGCCTCCCAGCAGTCTGGAACAGTTTTCATATTAGTGATTAGATATGGCTAGCTAATTGGCTATAACAGTCTAGTACTTTTCATGCTGGTGAAGACAAGAGAATTGACAATTTTTTTCATCAGGAAAAAATGAAGAAATTATTTATTAGAGGAGAAAGGAGAAGACAAGAGTTTTTAGCTTTCCAGTCAAATCAGGGAGCATTGTTTCAATCTTGTGACAAAGCTGCCTATTCTTCCCTTCTGAGGGCTGCATCTACCCTTAGAGATTGAGTACTGCAGTTCCTGTAGGATTAAATTCTGAGTTGCACATCTGTTTTTTGTGACCACAAAGGGAAGTACTCTCGTAAAATAGATTTTAAGTTGCCTATCACTTAGAAGATCTTCAAAAAGGTCCAAAGGGTGCAACAGGATAGCGTTGTCTGAGACAAAAAGGACTTGGAATTATTTTATATCACACTACCTTTGCTTTCTTTCACAAGTGTAAGAGCAAAAGAATATTTCACTAAGAAAGCACAGATTGTAATCAGTGTAATTACTTGGAGTAATTACCGAGTGTTTAAATACAGTTTAGAATCATAGAATGCTTACGGTTGGAAGGGACCTCTAGAGGTCATCTAGTCCAACCCCCTGCACACTCAGGGTCACCTAGAGCACGTGGCACAGGACTGCATCCAAGCGAGTTTTGAAGATCTCCAGAGAAGGAGACTCCACAACCTCTCTTGGCAACCTGTTCCAGTGCTCTGTCACCCTCACTGTTGAGAATTTTTTCCTTAAGTTCCTGTGGAACTTTTGATGCTTCCGTTTCCGGCCGTTTCATCTAGTTCTGTCGGTGGCCACCACTGAAAAGAGGCCAGCACCATCCTCCTCACTGCCTCCCTTGAGAGGTGCTTACTTACACTGATCAAGTCTCCTCTCAGCCTTCTCTTCTCCAGGCTGAACAGGCCCAGCTCCCTCAGTCTCTCCTCATAGGACAGATGTTCCAGGCCCCTGATTATCCTTGTAGCCCTACGCTGGACTCTCTCCAGCAGCTCCACATCCCTCTTGTACTGTGGGGCCCTGGACTGGACACAGTACTCCAGATGTGGAATTTGAATTTACATTTTTTCATTTACATTTGAATTTAGCAAATTTCAAAATTTGCTATTACAATGACCTTGATATATAGTGAGTAAAATCTGTTCACAAGTTTTCAGCTTAGAAAAGGAAGATTAATTATTACCTCAAGAAATGCTTTCTTATTGGACATTTTCATTTACTGAGGGTCAAACTGTGGCATTTAGTGTCTGTTTCTTGTTGTCAACAGGTAGAAGCTGCTCTGCTCTCTGACATAATGGTGTTCTCCTTTGGGTACAATGAGTGAGACAGAGCTTAGCTGCCATCCTGCCTTTCTCTTACCTTTTTGGGTGTTTTATATGTGTGAGGGAGCACTGATCATTTTATCCCTATCTCCCTACCATCTTCCAGATGGATCCGAGACAGAAAATGTTATACTGCTCATACACTGAAGGAATGGCATGTTCCTCATAATGTTTTTCATTCTCCACATTTTACTTACTCCATTCTTGTAATTTTTTCCATGTTTGAAGACATGCAAGAATAAGAACAATCTTTAGGATTTCTTTTTTTTCCTCTCGCACCTGAAGAGGATGAACTAATTTTTCACAACAAAAGAAGCTATGTGAAGTTTTCTTCTACATTCCTCAACAATATTCTGCAAGTGAGAGAAACCTGCCAGGACTGCTCCTAAATTTCAGTCATGATACATTAAAACAAACAGACAGCTATAAATTTGAAGCTCAAGAAATATGTTTTGTAATTCACTGCTACTAAAATGCCAATCTATCTGTGAAGTAGAGTAGCATTAATTTTCCCATTTGTAAAGGGGGAGCAATGGGGCAAATGAAAGTTAAGCAAGTTACCCAACAAAGCAGCAGTTAGAGTCAGAAGATGATTTGTTCCATCTTAGTATTAAATGTTCAAGATAAGCAAATTCTTTTTTTTTTTAGTTAAATTGAGAAGAAACCTATGCAAGTAACATTGATTAGATATCACAAAACTTTATATCCCTAAAATTAGATTAATTCCACTCTTTATACCTTTTACTGTGCATCTCCTGCACTGCAATGCATCTTGGAAAGGCTCTTACAGTTGTGACAAACAGATACCTTAATTTGATTTGAAGACATTCTATTCTTCCTTCACAGTCATTTCATGCTGGTTTACATAATGACACAACATATAGACAAACCATAAACTGAATTCTGTGTGTCTAGCCTTGTGAGGGCAGAAAATGAAATATTACCAGTGCAGGCTGATGCAGGGAAGATGAATACTGAAATTTCCCAAAGAAATTGAATAGAGGTGTCAGAAAACACTGATACTGTGTTGCAAGCCATTTCTGCTCTATCTGCCATAAAAAAGCCTATAAAGTAGGGCAATATTGCTTAATCAGTTCAAAAGGAATGGGTGATGTAATGTTTTGCATACTTCTACTTAGAAAAAGATCCAACCAAATGAAACACCTTTTTAAGTTTGTTGGAAATTGAAAACCCAGCTGCTTGATTTTTGAGTTCTTGAGAAGTTATGATTTACAAGAGAGTGCAAAATGTTGGGATATGATTAAGTCCAGTTTCTAAAATTGGAATTATTTGGTAAGAAGCGGGTTTTTTAAAGTTTATTAATGGCACTTTTCATGGTTAGGATTTAATCCTCTCCAAGAATAACAAAATCAATAACGCTTTCCAATTGTAAAAGGGCTGAAAAGATAAGAATCATGAATGCAATTTTACATATGAGAAATCTAAAGCATTGTGTACTAAGGATGTAATCAAAAGTAAGGTAATCAAAACTTTAGGATATACTTCTTAATGTCTGAGCAAATAATAATGGAATTCAAACAGGAATGCGATACGCAGCGTTTTTCCAAACAGTTCTTCAGCTGTACAAAGCCATCAAGACCAAGACCATACTTCTAGGAAACAGACTGGGCAAATGAAGAACTCAATCAGAGCTCAAACAGCATATGCAAAAGCATCAAAAAGCGTTCTTAGGACTACTTCGAGAACACAAAATATGGTTAGTTATTCCTGGACTCACAAATTGAAGCACATCAGGAGTCACAAGGGAAGTGAGAATTGGACATGGACTAACAGGAACTTAATTAGATAAGCTGGTTTAAATTTAGTGGGGCGCACACTGAAATGTACCTTCTAAATACATCGAAAAGCCAAAGGCAAAGGTGGTAGGCAAATAAGTTAATTATCTCGATGAAGAAGAAGTCTTGGCCTGAGACCTTGCAAGACTCTCCTTTCAAGAAAGAACTCCAGCACAGGTCCCAGATCATGGAGACTTAAAAATATAACTTTTTAAAAAAATAAACCACAAAGCCTCTTACAAAAAACCGAAAGATGAATTGATTCTTTTTGCAGAAAACAACATACTCTAGGATTCTAAAACCCACTTGCTTACCATTTATGCAGAAACTGATAAAATATTCCTGTGACTTAAAAAATGCAAATATTTCCTAACTTTTCATTAAGTTTTCATTTTATATTATCATCTTAGCTCTCCTTCACAAATATTTAAATAAGGATTATCCTAGTTAAAATACTAGATTGACAGGGCACAGTACAATTCATCAATTTGCCTTCTTTCTAATATTCAGTAGAGTATTCTAATACTGGTTTCTAATACCCATTTTTCATTCCATACAGTAAGAATGTCATAAATGAGTTCTAACATATGTACACCAAAGAATAAACACAAAACAAATGCCAACCACTATTATGTTAGGCTGGGTTCTTCTATTTTTTTTTTCATTTGTAAGTAAGAGTTATTGAAGAAGATGAAATCACAACTGTTTTCACTGCTTCTTTCTCTTCCCATAATGACAAAATTCCACACATGTAAAATCTGTCTCCATAAAATTGTTCACTTTTGTAATTTAATCCAGACATTACTGTTCATCTAATCCAATCCTGTTTTACAGGTCCCCCTCCACAAATAATAGTGTAGAATATTTGATGATTTTTATCAGTGAGCACTCTGGAATCAAATTACATGTTGCTTTCCACAGTTCCACAGCACTGACACCAATCAAATAAAATCAAACTGAACTGCAAGTATTAGCATATTTTCTGACATGCTACGAAATCTTTGAGGACTTGGTGCAAGCACAATACATTTATCAGTTTAGCTCAGTATAACTGCATAATCAATCCTTTAAGACACAAAAACGTATAGCATTTGCTTTCTTTTCTCTTTTTCTTCCAAAGAAGCATCGATAGTGTTAGCTCTCCCAATATAAACATTAACTCTCTAATGAAGCCAATTCAAACTCTCTAACGAAGGCTACAGACAGCCTTTTAGACATTCCACCAGCAAAACAAATGTTTGCAGAAGCAGCAACTTTAGTTTTTAAGTGTACTTTTAGAATACTAAGGGAGCAGACTTCAATGGTCTTTTTACTCATTACACTGTAATTTGTTTTTATATTCTTGACAGGCCCAATGGAAGAAGAGCTAACCCTTAGCACATTATTTTCCTATGTTTCTTCTGGAAAGATAAAGCAATTCACATTTCATAAGGACCAGAAAATGCAGACAAAAATCTATGTCAAAGTGAAAAAGAGATTCAAAAAAAACAGAACAACAACCTGAGATTGGATTGATGTTGACTTCCAATAGCATTCACATGTAAAATTATTTGCAAGACTATAGCTAAAACTTAGAAATGACTTTCAAAAACAACTATCATGATTAATCCCACATTTATTTTACTTTTTTTTTCCAAAAATACGTTCTAAATAGCATTCATGTATATAAATATAATACATAAAAATTAATAAAACCCAAGTACAAGATATGCAAATATTAACTACATTTGAGGAAAAGTAGAGACAATATTTCCACGAGAGTGGAAAGTGATGACTTGACACAGTGCAAGTGTCTAGGTATCAGAGAGCTAAAATGATCACAAACATGTCTCCGAGAATAATCCATCAAAATATTGTGACCCAAAAGTCACCAGGAGTAAGTAACTATTCAGGAGCACTTAAGAATGCCTAACACTTTTCAGAATAAAAATTCATTATGCTCTCAGACATGGACAAAAATGATTGCCCCACAAACAGATAATGCCACTAAACAGATAATGCCATCTGCTTATAAATGCAGAGCAGAAAATGAACAGGCAGTAAAAACATTCCCAAAGTCTTTTCCACTTCTTGGAAGTCTTTTTCTATTTCTTCAAGTAGCATCTTGTCACTGACCATTCAACTGCTAGCTGTACTTGGATGCAGTGGCTTGACTCTTGCTAGTCTAGATAGGCCAAGCCTAAGACACTGTGTAGGTGACTTAATGGAAACATATTTCACTGAGTTATTATTGCTTCCTGATGCAGCTGAAATTAATTTAAAAACAAAAATAAGGTGTAAAAAAAAAACAGAGAAAAAATAAACATACAATTGCTATCTTTTTGTAGCGTTCATAAAATATTCCAAAGGCATTGCAAAACGGTCCTAATAACACAGCACAGAAGCCTATGAAAATCAGCATACAAGCAGGCTATTTAGCCCATGCAGACAGTATTGAAATATTGAATATTGTTTTAGTAACCAACAACACACTGGAGTGATACCAATATACAGTGCTGGACAACTACAGAACAACTGTTCTCAAAATGCAATCTGGCATGCAGTTTTTTTCTATTCCCTACAGAATGAGAGAAGGGACCACAATATCAAGGGGGAAAGAAAGCAAACAAGGGGAGGCAAACAGAAAAGAAACGTTTGCAGAAAATGTGGGTAAATAGGAAGGAAATTATAAAAACTAACAGGACTCAGAACCATCACGTTTAAATACCACAAAAATATATTTTACATAATATTTATTTTTTTTTTTTAGAATAAGTAATGCACTAGCACCATGCACTAGAGATAAAGTTATCTAGAGAAATGACCACAAAACAACCTCTTGATTAAGATTTGTTCCATACACTGAAAAATCACAGATTCACAGAATGGTTGAGGTTGGAAGGGAACTCTTAGAGATCATCTAGTCCAACCCCCTGCTCAAGCAGGGACACCTAGAGCATGTGGCACAGGGCTGCACCGGTTTTGAAAATCTGCAAAGGAGATTTCACAATCTTACTGGACAGCCTGTTCCAGTGCTCTGTCACCATCACAGTAAAGAGGTTCTTCCTCATATTGAAACGGAACTTTCTGTGATTTAATTTACAGCCATTACCACTTGCCCTGTCACTGACCACCAAGAAGAATTTGGCCCCATCCTCCTTACATTCTCCCATCAGGTATTTATACATACTTATAAGATCCCTTCTCAGTCTTCTCTTCTCCAGGCTAAACAGGCCTAGCTGGCTTAGTCTTTCCCCATATGATAGATCTATCCTTAGATTATTATCCTCTCAACAAACAGGAAATAAGGATGCTAGAAAACAAAAACAAATAAAAAAATCCCACAGCAATACCTTCAAAGAATTCTAAGGTGAGAGGAATAAGTTGAATGATAAAAGGGCAGTAGTTGTACTGAAACACTTTTTGTTTGTATATTCAGAGGGAGCTTTCTACAAACTGAAGTCAACCACTGTACCTGCACATAGTTAAACTATTGCATATACCTGGTGGTATCCATTTAGGTTTCTTGGCTGTTGCAGGACATGATGTGCATACAGGTTTTCCAATTGGTTCTGAACAACTCGACATCATCTTTTGTGCTGTCTCAGATTTTAGCTCTGTTATTGTGAAGTAGAAAGTACAGGTAATACTCAGCTGGAAAATAAGACTGGCCTCAGAAAAATTAACCTTTAAGAAAGAAATCATCACACTGCACAACAGTACAGCACAACCTCTTAGAACTGATTGGAATGAAAGTACATTTACTAGAGTGTCACCAAACAGCCTGTTTGGTTACAGCTGTTACACCTGATATTTCATTCCTGGTTTGAAAATAACCATCACAACAATTTTTGGTAGTGACACAACAGATAGTAAATCTAAGCAGGAAGAATCTTCTGTCATATCCACAAAGGCGCTTATAACTAAAGCTGAATTTAAACTAAGGTACAGACTGCAAACTCAGACCTAAATTAGAACATATTATCTAGTCAGAAACATGAGTAACCCTAGGAAAATAATTTTCTTAATCTACCTAGTTGAAAGTAATTTGGCTTTGCAATAGAGTGACAATTAACTCTAAAATGTATACATACTTAATTTTTTTCAGAAGTGTTTAGCAGCCCTAGCATTTTTTAGCATTCTTGGATTTCAAAATCCACAGATTGGACAGCAAAAACAGGCCCTGAGATTATAACAAACTTTAAAAAAATCCTTTAATCAGTGTTTTTTTCTTAAAAACTAAATATAGTTCCTCTGCTTGCACTGTACACTAAAAGGCCTTTTCTTCTTTCAGAACTTTTTCTCCTTTGAATTTTTATTTACTCTGCATATCATCTCTTTTTAAATTATTCTTATGAACAGACAGTTTATCAGCCATTTTTATTTATTTCTTCGGGTCTTTTTGCCACGATAATTTTCCATATTTAAAAATAAAGTATGATATATATCAAAAAAGTGACTACCGTGCAGAACGAAAAGGTACTTTTACTATAAAAAAGACGATTTCAAATTCATAATACAAACTTACTTCTAGTTTTAATACTGGGTTTGGGACTTTCCTTTTCTCTTTCAGCCTGCAGCTTTTGCTTAGTTTCCTTTTTATTTCCTTTAGCTTTCCTCTTTTTCAGAGCAAAGTCTTCATCGTCATCTTGACTATAAACTGAATCTTCTTCTGAGTCCTCACCTACAGCAAAGAAAGGGGGTCTCAAGCTTCACATCACCTTTACAGGTAATATATCTTAATATGACTGTGGTGTTTTCTAATCACATGCTGAACATAAAGAATGAGCACTTAAAAATATAATATAATAAAAGCGAAAGAAATGATTGCAATACAAAATATATATTTAGGATTTTCTCTTTATTTTAGTAACTCAACACCCACATACAAACTGCATACAATAATGCATTTAAGAGTTTACTTTGCGATCAAAATATCTATAAGCACAATATGAAAAAATCTAAATCATTTGGCATTTTTGATTTTTACATAGTTTTAGACATGAATGTATAGAGTGGAATAATGGTAAAGACTTAAAACATTTATCATTAGCGAAAAACAGACATTAGCCAATCCTAATAAATGTTTTTCTATCAATGGGATTACTTGGATTATGCTATTTTCTTTCACTGATCATTTAGAAATAATTTCCAGTAACCCTTGCAGTAAGGTACAAAATAATTACTGAACTCACATGGCGAACAGAAGAGAGACCTTTATCTTACTTTCTAGGCATTCAGTAACAGGCCACTGCCAGAAGCAGAACACGAGACTAAACTGACCTCCAATCTGATGCAGTAGTTTTTTCTGAGTTTTGAGAACTAACAGAGGAGGAAGGCAGGCTACCTTCTTCTCTAACAAGTTTAGACAATGCAGACACTAAAATTCCTAACATTGAACACTTTTCTAAAGTCATTGTTTTGACTCATTGTGTCAACATCACAAGTCGATTGCTTTTTGCGAAGTATTGGTTTTCCAATTGAGAAACATTTTTTCCGAGTGGGAATATTGTTTTAATTAAAAAGCATTCTTCAAAACTAAGCAGAGTTTAAAATAAAGATTCTTTTTCCCTCTAATTGAAAACAGAAATTTATGGAAACAAGAAACATGCATTTAAATGCAAATGTACAGACACTTCCTTGAAAAGATGAGATATGAAAACAACTTACCTAAAAGTTCACTCTCTGTAACACAGTTGGAAAAACGGGGTCTCCCATGCACGTTTTCTGATTTGATATTCTTACCTGTTATAGGCCCTGAATAAGAATAAAAAGGAAAAAAATGTTAGGATTATAATACTATCTCTATTAAAAAGGGAAGATAATAAAAAATGAAGAAAGTCAACAAAACTATACATTTTTGCGCATCTTACAGAAAAGTTATTTTTCTCATATGAAAACCACTAGCAGAAGAAGACAGGCCTAGAAATTCTTATTTCCTAATCATACACATTGAAAAAATACATTACTTTCAATATTTTTTAAATATTGTAAACTAAATTATGTTATGGCCAAACTCACTACAAATAAACAAAGGCTGCATGGCTCTTTATCAATTTACTAAGCACGAATGCAATTACAATAAGGATTATTTGCCCCCCTTTTTTTTTTTTCCACTTATCTTTTCCCCTTTCTTCATAATTTGGAAGCAAATGCTAAATTATACCCCAAAAAACCGACAAAAAACTACAATTCTTTTATTTTCCTGAAAAGGTTAAATCAAGGAAAAACCTTTAGTACGCAAAACATACAGTGTGATAATCTGAGTCTCATGTAAGTGATGTCAAATTCTCTAAAGTTTAAATTTGTATTTATTATATGAAACTGAATCCTATTCACCTCCACTCCTATTAAAGTTCCAACTAAATTCCAACTAATTTTGACTTAAAATGGAAGACTGGCTACACAAATGGCTACGAAAATCAGGTTCTATGAAGGAAAGCTTTCATTTATCAGAAAACTTTATCCATCTAGGAATTTCAGAATAATAAACATCATTCAATACATTACATGCTTTGGAAACTCTGAAGTATATATTTTAGAGAATGAAAAAAAAAATCTGTAATTTCTTTAAATAAACAGATCTAAATTTAAATAAATAAATATGTTGAAATTGAACCCATATAAAGTACTTATTTAAATTCGCAAAGCATAGGAAGTGAGTGTTAGTATGAGTTATGATAAATTGAGTTACGTGACCAAGGAGAAGCTTATACTGAACTGTAAAACAACCTTTTTCTTTTGAGTTTTGTACCCCACGGACATTTGCAGATGTTTCTTTGACAGATAAGGCTAAAGCAACTTCCAAATCTCTTCGATAAAGTTTGTCATCCAAGGATATCCTGAAATAGTAAATATGCTACATAACAAAACTATGAAATGAGTGCTGCAGAGCTATTTCTGACTTGCTTAACTATAAATTCAAATGCCTTTACAAAAACTAGCATGCAATATGTACTTTATAAGATACCATACTATTAATTACTTCCTGGAAAGTCTTAGGCACTCTAATAGACTAATAATTGAAAAATACCATATTGAAAAGTATTATGATTATGAAGCACTGTACACACATTAAATAATATGTGGTACTGAAAAATGTTTTTACATTTGCTTTAAATACTGCCCTGAAATGGAATATTTACTCAAAAAATTACTATCTAAATATTACATTTTTTTCCATTGAAGACATATTTTCTATCAAACTTTTTTTTTTTAATCAGACAGAATTATCTTTCTCAGGTTGAGATCCTAAGGAGATTTGACATAATCCAAATTGTACAATATTGTTTTGTACTGTAGAAATATCAAGATATGATATCACCTTTCATAATTTAATTATAAACCTGCTTCTGTACATTGGCAGGCAGTATTCTGGAGCTTTCTGGAGCTCTTAAAGGCAAGTGATCGCTCACTACTATATTTGGGCAAGTTTTCTTGACTCTGGTGTAAATACAATACCTTTGATTCACAAGTCTACCAATACATCTGAAATTGTTATTACATCAACATGTTAGTTCTCTTGGCTGTTTAAAATTCTAGGAAATAAATGAAAGAAAAGGATTGCTGTTGAAATCCAGTTTCTGCTTCACACATGGTTAGCCATAGCTCAGCATCTCCCACCTTTTACTGGGTATCTCCTTATGTGATAGAGTCAATTTTTTGTGTGGCTTTTTCTGATTCTCTTTTTTGTCCCTCTTCAGTTCTTTGAGCTGCGTTCTGGGTACAGCTACATATGCAAAATCTTCATCTGCTGAAGAAACAGTAACAAGCTTTAACTAGTTTTCTCCATAATACTCTTCTATGGCAAAAAGTCATCCAATTAATTTCACCATACACTGAAAACAGACCAAACAGTTGCACATACATAGATTCATTTCAAATTATTTGTATTTTTAAAGAATAATCCAATGTTTTTAAAATGTTTTAAATGAAAAATTAACACCATTTCTTTTACATGTTCTTTTAAGAGATGACAATTTTGTTTTTTATTACCAATATGGCAATAAAGCTTCAATCTCCAATGTTTTACCAAATTTCCAAGAATTGAAAGTTCATCTTTTGATACAATGAACAATGATCATTTTAACAGTAATCACTGTGATGGGTGAAATGGTCCTCTAAACGACTCTTACTCTTAAAAAAAAAAAAGTAGTTCTTCTCCTTTTCTTACCATTTTCATACTATTTCTTACCACATGCAACATAGTTCTCCAATTTTCGTGGAAAAACAGAAGACTCGAGACCTGCCTTTCTTCTGACTGAAAACATTGCTGATCACATTGCAAAATGAGGACAAACAAAATAAATTCCAGCACTCCTTAAAGCAGAAATTATGCAAATCATTAACACTTCTTTAAAAAAAAAAAAAAAAAGCATCTGAGCAATATGAAGAAAAGGGACTGGACTCTTCTGTAATATTAAAAATGCTCACTCACAAACTGGATTATGCACATGACTCAGAAAGGACTTTCAACACTATTGACTCAACTCAAACTCTTCCCTTTATCCTGCAAACAATACAGGAAAAAGAAAAAAGAAAGTAACCAAACTGATTACAGTAAATGTGTCACATGGAGAGACAAAGGAGAGCATTAATGAAAATTACTTTCAACAGTCCATTTTTTATTTCACTAAAACTGAAATTTAACCTCTGTGTCTTTATAAGCTCCAGAATCACCATAATACAGAGCTATGGAAGAAAGTGTATTGACGTACAGATGATTCAAAAATACATTATATTCTGAATTACAACCCTGTAAACTGATCATCAGGAGGACATCAGACAAGCAATAATCACTGAAAACTGAAAAAGGGAAAGACATTAATTTTTCCGCGATAACAAGACACAATATATTCACCAGTGCCATAACATATTTTTCTTATACTCTGGCTTACAGCCATCATATCCTTTTTGAATTAGGGTTTATAACAATGAGCCTAAACTACTTTCAGCAAAAAACATGGCAGTCCTGTCATTAAAATCAAAATCATTAAAAAGAAAGACTATCCACCCATAGGTTCGGTGGTTGTGCTTTAGTGTTTACCTTTTTTAGTATGGCTAATAACAACCGACTTACAATCATTATCCAAATCCCCAAACTCTGAATAGTCAACAATTTTCTTCTTCCTGTAGAAAAGAATACACACTGTTAGTCCTCTCCGATTCAGAATCTTGATTTGCTCAATTTGGGGAAAATTATGAGAACAAAAAGAGAGAGAACAGTATGCTATAATCTTTGCATAATTTACTGTTACTTAAATGTTCTTTCCACATAGCTCTTAAGTTGCTTCCTACTTTGCACTGCCATTAGCCCCAGTGTTCAGATGAAACGGGAACATCGCAGTCCAGTGCCCAGCCTCGCTAGCTCTGCCGGCTCTAACGGACCCCCTGAGGCAACGTCCGTTGGACGCGCACTGAAGCCTTTCGAGGAAACGTCTCTCGGCGCTGCCGAGCCCCTGCGCTTCCTGGGGAGGGCGATCCCCACAACCCCTTCCGCGCTGCGCGGGGTCGCCACACGCACCTCCGCACCGGCTGCGCCATCGTCCCTGCGCCCCGCTCCGCGTGGTGGCCCCACAGCTCTCTCAGGCAGTGCCCACTCCTCTTTCTCCAGCGCCGCGTCCGAGCATGCCACTCCTGCCCACTCCCTGTTCGGCTCCGGAAACAGCAGCAAGGACTTAGTCTCGTAGCCAGCTCGGCACATTCGCCACTAAGCGAGCGGCTGGGAGAGAGTGAGGCGGCAGACTCCTCACACCCGAATCTGCGTCTGCAGACGCGTAGCTTCGACAGGAAGAGCAGGAGAAGGTCCGCCTCCCGTGTTTCGTCTGGCGGCTGGACGGGAGCGCAACGCGGTGCGGGCCGCTTCCACTGCCATGCACAGCGTTCAGGTGAGCCTGGTAGAAAGGGAAGTCCACCCCCGCCTTTCGCCGCACGGAGAGTGACTCCCACCCTATGACCTGCGGTGGGCTGCCGCTAACGGCCGCTGAACCCCATCGCCTGGCCCTGGCGGCGTGGCCCCGTCCAGGCGAGTCCCTGAGCCCCGGCGTCGTTGCGTAGAGGTGTGGTGGTACCCTTCGATTTTCGGGCCTCCTCCTTGGCCTGAAATCCCCGACCACGGGATTGTTGGGGTGGGGCTTCGGGTGCCTCTGTGAAGGAGGTGAGGGAGAGCGAGGAGATTCTTCTTTTAGTGCTTATCATCAGCATTCTGTTTTTGATAACGAGAGTAGATGCAGGTTTTCTTTTAGAGGGCTGCCGAACCTGGTGTGGTGGACTTCAGCGTATCGTAAAAAGCATTTGTCCTATTCTCAGGGACAGGTGAGATGCTCGATTGCACTGGAGGGGGAAGGGGAAGTATTGCCCTATACTGTGTTTTTTCTTCCCCATTAAACCTGTTTTGTGAGGAAACAGCATATGAAGATGTTCATTAGCTATTGAAATCGAGTTTCTCTTTGTATCAGGACATGCAGTGGCTTTGTTTTAGCTTTTATTTCCTTGAGTATTTGTTGTTGTTGTTCATCAGTCTTTTCCTAAAATATAGGTGTATTCAAAACAAAAAAAAAAAACCAAAAAGGTCCCCATGAGTTTGTCTGCAGAAAGTATACTTTCTTCTTTTACTTTCTGATTTTAATCTCTTTGAACAGTAGATTATAGCATGAGAGAGGTTTCAGGTGGAATAATGTGTCCAGTTTTGCACATAATGTTCAAAAAAAGATGAGTGTGAATGAGCTGGAGGACAGAAGAATTACTGCTACAGGTAAGTGTTCCCATAGCGTAAACTGAGGCTATAGACAGGTATCTTGCTTTTCTTTTTGCTTATTTTTATTTGGATATTTTAAAAGTATCATCCCAAAGCAAGTCACAAAGTTACAAAATCTTATACAAAAAAAAATTATTACCAGCTTCCACTCCCCCCAGATCTCTGAAAAGTGTGTGCCTGTACAAAGCATGAAACAAAGTCTTAATAAGATTTTGTGACATGCATATCAACAGGTGCAGGGTCTGCTTTAAGAATAGTTTTTTATTGTGATTCCTTCTGTTCTGGTGCTACATTTAAGTCAGGAGGCTTATAACTGCAATTTGTAAGGCTAGCTAGCTAAATGCATGTATTGATACATTTGATTACTGTTTGGAAGCTCTCAGTGTTGTGGAAACTGGTATTCATATGTTAATTCCTACCTATGCACTTGAAAATCAAGATTTAGATGAATATTTATGAAAAATTTCATTCTTAAGTTTTTTTTTTGCCAGAAAAAAGTAACAGAGCCTTTAAAACAAAAGAAAAATGAAAAAAAAGAGGTTTTTCACGTGTTCTCATTGCTAATGCAGGAAATAATCTCAAGAAGATGAAATCTAACAAAGAAAGGACCTGCACTGGGGAGAGAGACTTTGTATACAAATTTAATGCTGGAAATCAACATTTATTACTTACAGTGCCTCTTGAATTCCCCATGCAGGAGAATGTTAGTCACCTGCATGGACATCTAATGGTTTTGCATCATTTACCATGTGTTATAGAAAACGGTAAGAATTGATTTTGTAAAATATATATTTGTATATATATATATATGCATATATATATATATGTGTATAAGCATATATGTATACATAAATTATCTTATAACGTGTTTTAAAAATGGGAAGTTATTTGCAAGAACCATCCTTAGTTTTTAACAGCAGAATATTAGTGAAAAAGACTGTTCGTACTAATAAGAGAGTTGCCCCAGTAGAAGGTTCTCAGAAAAACTTTGTATGTTTGCTAGATGGTTATTGATATTTCTAATGAAATTGTTTTGTTGATGAAACATTTTCTTTTTGTTAAAGTAGACCTGAAGCAGTCACTTAATAAGTTCATAGAAGAGGAAACTATAAAGGATTATGATAAAGAAGCTGACATGTCTCTGGAAGCTGTCAAATCAGGGGAAGTAGATGTAAACCAGTTGGCAGATACTTGGGCTAAAGCTTATAAAGAGGTAAGATTAAGACTGAAAAGTTAATATTCAGGCTATGCTTTGTGTGAGTGTGTGTGTACAGGCATGTGTGCATGCATAGATCTAATTACATCTGTGGAGATGTATGACATTGAAAGTCACTTTGCTGATCAATTCCTATGTATTTTTTTATCCCAAAGTGATCACTGAATCTTCGTCTTCCATGTTTTTAGTTGACTTTTTACTGAATGTATCTCTTTAGCAATTTAAGAAAGTAATGGAGTCAAAAGGTACAAAACAGAGAAGAAACTGGCTAATGATAGTGAAACAAAAATAAATCTAAAGCTTGTGATGTATTAGAATAAAAAGAAAAAATGGTAAAATGGTACTCTTTTGTTTGAGTTTCTTTAATGCACGTCATAAGGATATTTTAGCTGAACACAATATGCTGACTTGATTTGATGCAGACTTGCATATGCCTGAAGGTGCTTTGCTTTAGCTATCCAGCAAATGCAAAAGGTACCTGTGAAGATTTCAAGGAGAAAGTGAGTGTTTGGAACAAATCTTGTAGCTCATCTCCTGCGTTTATGCAATGTTAGTGTTAGACAATGTCTTGATATTTCTGTCCTGTGTTTCAGTGGTACCATTTCAGTTCTTCAGCTGAATTAGCTGGGAAGCAAGCCCTTTTAAACCGAAATGATCCTAACAAAACTGTCATCTTTGAGCCATTTATAATTCACTAAAAATTGTTTTTATTAAGTCAGTGTTTTCCAATAATTTTTAGTGTCATCTGAGGTTTATCCCTTCTTTCTAAAATACTATTTTTTGCACAGATAATGTTTTGGGTTCTTTTAAAAACTGATTGGATGGGACTACTATCTTATGATTGAGAAATTCTTGACAGCACTTTAAGTACTTAAAAATAGGAAGAGCTAAAATAATTGTTTGTTCAAAGTTGGTGATATTTGAAAATGGTTAATTCCTCACTGGTGTCAAAATGTGTAATGCTTTTACTACTGGTTTGAAAGAGAAAGACTGTGGGAAGAAAAGGGAGTAAATGATAAAAGCTTAAAGTAGAATGTAAAGACCTCTAATTAGGAGGAATGTAATTCATGCATTTTGAAGGATCTGCAGTATTGTGAATGCGCAGTTGATTTTGCCTTACCTTTACTAGGAATTCTTTTAGTCATACCATATACATTAAAGTCTCTTATAATTTTTAGACAACATTAGAATATGCAAAACCTGAAGAAATCAGTTGGGATGAAGATTTTGCAAATGTTTATCATGATCTGATACATTCTCCAGCTTCTGAAACACTGTTAAACCTGGAACACAGTTATTTTGTTAGTATCTCAGAATTAATAAGTGAGAGAGATGTGGAACTAAAAAAGCTGCGAGAAAGGTATTCTTTTTAATTCATGTTAATGTCTACTTTTAATGTCTTTGTGTAATGTCTTGAATGTCTTAAATGTGGGTGCACACCACTGGATGTACATACATCCCATGTGACAATGTAAGTCCACTCTATTTGGTATTATAAGCTCTGTTTTAACATTGTGTTTCTCTCTTTAAAATTAGTCATGTAGCCTCTGTCATTGGGGTCAGCTGTCTTGTATCCTTCTAAGTCACTAAAATAATAAAACCTAAGATTATCTAAGTAACATCAGGTTTGATTTCCATTGTTCTGTCCACATAAGTGGTATAGCAATAGCAAATGTCTAAGGATATTAAAAAAAAAAAAAAAGAAAACTCAAATCTGTGTGCCGTAGCTCTTGTGCCTTTAGCAAAAAGTAAAATGAATGAAAAATTGTGGAATTAAGTTCCACATAATGGAAAGATAAGCACAGGATTTGAATCAATTTAAATTCAGAAACTGCTAAGTAGGAACTTGAGCTTTGGAGATCCCTAGTTGGAAAACCTGCAGGTGGCTGCTTTGTCCACACGGAGAGGCACGTACAATTTTTTTTGTTTGTTTTGTTGTTTTTGCTTTTTTGATGCTGCAGGTGACAGTATTCCTCCTACAATGTGAGCTTAAAATCAGAAATTATAGTGGATATCTTCTTCTATAGCTTCTTTCCAATGTTCTTCCAAAGTGAATTTTACATAGCTCTGATTTGGAGATAAAAATTGCTGGTTATTTGTGATAGCATAAAAAGCTTGCTGCTTATTGTAATTTTGGCTCAGCTGTGCATGTAGAAGAAAGAGTGCTTGGTATTAAGGGCAGTTAGAGTGTTAGCAGAGTTCTAATGGCATATAGCTGTGTATTTTCTCCAGTGAAAATTATTGTATGTACTTGACAAAATCATGAATCTCCATCAATCAAGGATGAACTCGAGGCTATGCCGGGTGAGTTGTAGGTCTTGTTTTCTTTACACAGAAGCCTATTTCATAGAATCATAGAATGCTTAAGGTTGGAAGGGACCTCTACAGGTCATGTCGTCCAACACTCCTGCACACACAGGGTCACCTAGAGCACGTGGCACAGGACTGCATTCAAGCAGGTTTTGAAGATCTCCAGAGAAGGAGACTCCACAACCTCTCTTGGCAACCTGTTCCAGTGCACTGTCACCCTCAAGCCTATTTGAAAGCCCTGACCTTCAACTTTCTTTTTTTTTTTTTTTTTTGATATTCTTTGCTAAATCAGGGCTATGCTACACTAAAAGTGATTCCTTGCTGGAGAACATGGTGAATGTCAGAGTGAAGCCAGGAATTCAAGAAGTTTCAGGAGGGACAAATTATTAGATGAACTGATGATAGCAGGGCAATCCTTTAG